GCTTGCCTCTGCTTGCACGTGGGGTTTTCCTGCAGCACCAGTTGCAACAGGGTAACCTAAAATTCACAGTCTTTCAAACCCCACTGCGGAAGCATATTAGGGGGTTCATGTAGAGTAGCCGGATGCGGTGTATTCCATTGCCGACTCTTACATGTCATACATTGATGGCCTTGCACCCCTGTAAAAAGCTTGCTCAGCGGTACTGCAAACCGTCCCAGGTTTCCTCAGTACCTGCACCCGCATGGCTCATCAAGTTCTCAGACCTCAAGCCCTTTAGCTGCGAGGCCTTCAAGCGCTTGTCATACGCTATATCTAACGATTGCTTGCAATTCACTAAACTGACGCTTAGTGTAGCGAACTATAGGATGTCTCCAGAGTGGAATGAAATCCACAGGGAGCTCAAAGGAGAAGAATGCCAACTGCTGTGGCAACAAAGCCAAGGAACATAGGTAATGCTGGTGCGGCGCTTTTGTTGAGTCCAGCAGTAATCTGATCCCACTGGGCTTGCCTGAAAACGCACCACTCTCACGCAATCCATCTTTGGGCTTACACGAAGCCGTAAGAGACTGACGAGTTCAACAGCGGTGTTCAACTTACGTGTATGGGGCGGCGTCCTTATTTAAGGCCTTTGGCGTGGTGACGCAAACAAGAGCCTTCACTTCTTTGTCTGTGGTGCTCTCACTCCCGCTGCCCTGCTCTGGGCCGTTCCCATTGCTACTACCTCCACCAGCCTCCTCTTCTCCTTCCTCCTCTTCGTCCTCAACAACTTCTTGATTCTGCTTCACCGTCTTTTTTGCTGGGCAGGTGAAGTATGCGCAGTCCACTTTGGGATTTTCACTCGGGTTGAAAAGGGAAATGAAGGAAATATTTTGTGGGTTGTCATACGGCTCTGTGTCTTCTGTGTATTGCGGAGGGAGGCCGTTGAAGTTGGAGAAAGCTGCCTTCCAGTGTTCCACTGCGGCTTCGCAGTCAGCAGTAGCTCCTTCTTGAACCGCGTAAGCGTATGTGCCATCCAGCGTGGCTGATTTTGGAGCAGACGCTGCGTTCTGTTGGTTTTGTGGAGGACACAGCACAGAGAATACATGGCAGGGTATAGGAATACGTGTATTCAACTGGATGTGCGTATGCCCGTATACTTGCGTAAGATGTGGAGTGAGGAACCAATGAAGAAGTTCGGCTGGTGACGGATATTATGCCACGACTTACACCTTTGAGTGCCGTGCACACTGACTCCACATACTCTGCTACTGTCGCAGCTCGGGAGAGAGGAGTTTCATCTATTGGGAGTTTTTCGCCTTTATTCTCTCCCGCCGTGAGCTCGGCGAAACGGACAAGATCGCGGGCGGCGTTCATTTGCACCGAGCAGTTTACCCTCTCTGCCTTGTCTGCACGCGCACTCAACGCAAATATGCAAGATTTCAATGGGCTTTCTTGTTGTTTACTTTGTAATATGGATGAAAAAATAACCTTTATATGGATTCACTGGTTGTCGTCGTACTTTCTGTCGCGTTCGCCCTAGTGTCTAGCAAGAAAATGGCGGCGGTCGCCAAAGACAGGAACTTGAGAGCAGCCATCCTGGTGGTCGGATTTGGAAATGTCACCCTGGGGCTGCCAAAACCTTCTAAATCTTAAATTAACAATAACGGAGATACAATACTTGAAGCGGCTCATCAGCTGGGTGAAGGGGGAAGGCAGTCTCTGGGCGGTCTGAAGCTGTGCCGACTGGCTCCAGTCCTCAGGCTTCACATACCAGTTCCGTAGTGATCTAGAAGATGTAGCGCAACTCAAGTAGTATATTACGGTGTAACATATTAAAATGTAACTGCTAATTTGTCTCTGATGAATTTATTGAGGCATCCGCCGGTCCGTTCTCCCAGCTGTTGCTTGTACACTCGCGATGCATAGGAAGCACAGCTCCTCCACTCCAACATCAACTTTCGCACTACATTTAAGATGCCACTTTGCAAGCAGTTGTTGAAGGGTTTTCGTACTTATGTGGTGTGATATCCGCAGCTAAGGAGACGTATGCAGTGTCTGCTGGGCGTGTATTTGTCCACTGTCCAGATGCTTTTTCCGCTTTTCAATCCTGTGCCTTTACAATGCAAAAGCATGTTATGCGCGTTCTGCTGCAAATAGAGAAGTGCCGGTTCCACTACTTTGCATCTATGTGCGGTCGCAATGAGACGAACCAACTGGCAACTTATATTGCTGCCTTCTTTTTCTCGTGGGTCATTTTGATGCTCCGACTCGGAGGCCTGAGGTCTGACGCTGGACGGGTCCCTTCTCTGTTCATGTATAGCTAACGTATAGGCTTGCCTGCCATGGGCTAAGTTGGTGTACTCACTTCTATTTGCGTGCAGGCTGCCTACTAAGTGCCTAGTAGTTGCTCAGCAATTCTCTACAGTGTTAGTGCACGCCGCAGAGCACGGGATACTTGGTATTGTCTGTTTGTATATTCACCTTGCAGGGCGGTTTGCTGCGTCGAAGCCCGCCAGGGGGTTGCTATCACTATTGCTGTGCGATCTGGTATAGTTGTGCCACTAAAACTCTCTCAAGCGGGTTATCTGTAATGGTAATGTAACACGTCCACGACATACGAATGCTGAAGCCATCACAGAGTGAAAAGCAAATATTATGTTGAGGATTGATTTTGGTGGAGTGGAGAGGATGTTTAGAAAAAATAGGCGCCAAGTACTGCAGCAGCGAGGAGAAGGAGTGTAGGCGCTGCCGCTGAGCCATTGCTGCTGTTGACGGCAGCACTGATCCGATCCCACTGGGCTTGCCTGCGACGAACACAGAGCCGCAATCAGCCCGCACCCATTGAGTAGGAGGGACGATAAAAAGATAAAAAGGTGAAATATATTTCCGCAGACACTAAACTGAAGCAGCCGCAAAATGCGCACTCAGACAAACAGCTCACTCGTATGGGGCCTTGTTTGCCTCCAAGGCGCTCGGCGTTGTGATGCAAAGAATTGCCTTCAGGTCCTTGTCCGTTGTAGCCTCAGGCTCAGGGTCCTCCGATGGAGGCTCATCATCATTTCGATTTTTAGGTTCATCGGCGTCTTCTTCTGCTGCTGGGCAGATGAAGTAAGCGCAGTCCACCTTGGCATTCTCCTTGGGATTGAAGAGGGAAATAAATGAAACATTTTGGACCTTGTCATACGGTGCTGTGTTTTCGGTATAGGCTGGAGGAACGCCATTGAAATTAGG